GGTTACGGATGGCCTACGGATTCTCGTGGTCGTTCATGTCAAGAGCTTGGTGTTTTTTCTTACCATGATGATCCTGCAATTCGCTTGACATAAGAAATATAATGTAGATCGATGGAGGTTCATATATTAAATGAAATCCCTACCAGTTTGTCTCCCGATCTACCACGTGCCACCAGCTTGATCTGTTTGAATGTTTTCCGTTTCTCTTTAGTGCCACCTGGCATCTTTGATCTTTCTGTTTCGGATATCGATGCTTCTAAAATTTCCAGCATATAAATTCTATAAAACGAGTGGTCGCAAGAACAGCTAGCTGATGGCCAAGATTTATGAGATTAGAAATGATTAAACGAATTCCAACAAAGAGAGTTGATAGGCATTTAACCTTCTTCCAATAGGCAAATGCCCTTAGCTTTCAAGTAACCATGCGAGGAATTCGGAATGAATCAAATATGAAGAATCACAACTGAACAGATTTAACAGCTACGGGATTCCTTACTTTTTTCTTGGTGCTTTTGGTGACGATATCTACGGTAGCTGGAACGCCAACGTTCAGCCGCCTCTGCCGTCATCGTCGGCGCTGTCTTGCCGAAGTTCTTGTCTCGCATTTGGAAAGCGCGAATAATACGAAGCTAAATTATATCACAATAATATTTAAAAACAGTAAATCACTTGTTTTTCCGTCTATTTTATGAGGCAAATTCATACTTAATGTGCCTATGTCAATGACTTCCATTCATTTTCATATTTCGTCTTTGTGCCATGAAATGAGAAGCAGTCGACGAACACCTGTTATTGGTTTTTGTGAACATTGCAATTTTGCAATTGTCAAGTCTAATTCTTTCAGAAAACTTCAAAATCTGTCTGTTAATCTGATGTACCATTTTACGAATGAGTCAGGATATTGTTAATCGCGTGGCGCGTCACTAGATAATAGACCAATGATTAAATGCTTCGACCGGTACTAAGAACGATCCTGTAGATGTCGAGATCCGCAGGCGGATTTACTAATTGGGCTTCTCTGCTATGTTAGTGGAGATCTGCGCTCTGTTCTGAAGTGCGTACAAAATGATTATGTGCTTTTGGTGTTTTTGCATATGGTTTGCATTATATCTGCCCAAAAACCTTTATTCAAATGCCATCAAAGTCTCAAGTTGCACGGTTAGCGGCTGAGGACTTTACCGTTCATGACGGCGCCTAGTTTTTAGTTTTTACGGATTTATTAATTTTTTGAAAGCAAACTATAATTTTTTCGATAGCTAAAAAGCAGGGATAAAGGACGTGAAGTGATGCGTACAAGACAGGATTGTAGAGGAGAGTTTACCCAACTATTTTAATTTCCTATGACTCATCACAGCGATTGGAAGTGAGATAACGATCGATTACCTGTCAAGTTACAGGCTTTTTAAAAGGCTTTTTGCAAAATGTTAATAGTAAAAAAACAGCTTTTTCCATGAGTCAATGCCTAACGCAGCATGTGTGCTGGATAACCTATGAAATGTATGGATGTATCTCCTATGTAGTCTCCCTCTTGCATTTTGCATCCCCTTCCTTGTGTTTGTTAACCAAATGCACAGTAATTACCCTAACGCTACCTTATGAAATCAACCCTTTAATGCATTTTGCTGAAGCAATTTTCTCAATGGCCAAATATTTATTGGTCTCCCACTACGACAACACACATGTTGCGCCATGAGGAACATTCCTCGCATCCACAACGATTTTCCGGTGCGGCGAGCCGTTAGCGCACGTGACCGAGCCCGAATATTGTAGTCACCATTAATGTGCAGCTTTGATGGTTCAACCTGTAACGAACTACAATAGAAGCACCGTACTCATAGGCCTTCAAGATCTTATAGATCCACGGAGTTTCAATGCTACTGTTTTGGTGAGTTGAAAATGCAGCAAATTCAGAACTGAATTGTATAGAGGCGCTACCCACGAGAAATTGCTTAAAACAAAAAGGTTGCTCTTAGTATTTTGTGGAGATACTAACTATAAACAGAAACAAAACGAAAGAGAGAATACAAAGGATAAAATCTTTAGCGTAGACCAATCCCTGAGGGATAGGCCATACATTCGACTTCATTAAGCACCTTTTAGAGCTGATTGAATGCATATCGGGCCTTTACAGTAACTCGAGGTGGCCTACTGATGTATTGAACCAGTGCTGCTATTTCCCAGACAAGCTGCTAACAATTTGCGGACCTGGAGGGATGGAAGACTTGGTGGGCCATAGGCGCAGGGATTGATTCTACGTGTGTGTCACAGGGCGCCTCCGACCACTGCGCCACACGTGCCCTACTAAGCAAAATATGGGAAGAGAATCTACACTTCTGCATGATTGCAAAAAACCGACTAGTTCGACAAGGATGTGAAGAAGTGAAAAAGGCCCCACAGGAAGAAGGAAGAGAAGAAGGAAGAAAGACGAATAACAGTATCCCAGAAATCTTTTGCGTGAGCCAGTACGTTCCAGCAAAGTATATTCTTTAAAAAGAATCTATGCAATGAAAACGATAATAAAACGTATACGGTGAAAACTGGTAAAACAATGGTCTAAAATTAGATTTATTACAAATTTAAGCGTGTATATTATTACCTTATTGTCTTTATTTTATTTTATTTGATCTGTCTTCACGTCTAATGTGCGGACCCTAGCACTTCTCTCATTCGATTAGTTACCTCGCATCCACTATCCACGGAGATCTTCCAACTTTCACATGTGGATTTGGTTGCTGCTCGAGGATTTCCATTTCATCTTATATGTCGTAAAATGCTCGGCAAGCAATTTTCTCTGGAGACCTGAGATAGCTGGGCTGGAGCGTTCCCAACTGGATTGCAGAGAGTGGTTTTTTTCAGACAAGTCCAGTACTAATTTCACGACCTCGGAGGGATTAGAGGCTTGGTTAGCCCGGGACGACAGGGTCTTCCAAGCTGAGAAAGAGTTTCGCGTTTCCATCAGAAAGCCTAGCTAAACCAATACCAGGATCCGCCACCGTCCTGGTATCAACGTAGCATGACGGCAAATCTCCCTCTAGGAATACAAGCCACTAAAAATTGATTTTCCAGCTTTCGAGGGTACAATACAAATTGAATTTGTTGCTGAAACATATTCTNACATGTTGCGCCATGAGGAACATTCCTCGCATCCACAACGATTTTCCGGTGCGGCGAGCCGTTAGCGCACGTGACCGAGCCCGAATATTGTAGTCACCATTAATGTGCAGCTTTGATGGTTCAACCTGTAACGAACTACAATAGAAGCACCGTACTCATAGGCCTTCAAGATCTTATAGATCCACGGAGTTTCAATGCTACTGTTTTGGTGAGTTGAAAATGCAGCAAATTCAGAACTGAATTGTATAGAGGCGCTACCCACGAGAAATTGCTTAAAACAAAAAGGTTGCTCTTAGTATTTTGTGGAGATACTAACTATAAACAGAAACAAAACGAAAGAGAGAATACAAAGGATAAAATCTTTAGCGTAGACCAATCCCTGAGGGATAGGCCATACATTCGACTTCATTAAGCACCTTTTAGAGCTGATTGAATGCATATCGGGCCTTTACAGTAACTCGAGGTGGCCTACTGATGTATTGAACCAGTGCTGCTATCTCCCAGACAAGCTGCTAACAATTTGCGGACCTGGAGGGATGGAAGACTTGGTGGGCCATGGGCGCAGGGATTGATTCTACGTGTGTGTCACAGGGCGCCTCCGACCACTGCGCCACACGTGCCCTACTAAGCAAAATATGGGAAGAGAATCTACATTTCTGCATGATTGCAAAAAACCGACTAGTTCGACAAGGATGTGAAGAAGTGAAAAAGGCCCCACAGGAAGAAGGAAAAGAAGAAGGAAGAAAGACGAATAACAGTATCCCAGAAATCTTTTGCGTGAGCCAGTACGTTCCAGCAAAGTACATTCTTTAAAAAGAATCTATGCACTGAAAACGATAATAAAACGTATGCGGTGAAAACTGGTAAAACAATGGTCTAAAATTAGATTTATTACAAATTTAAGCGTGTATATTCTTATTGTTAAGATATTGTCTCTTATCTTATTGTCTTTATTTTATTTTATTTGATCTGTCTTCACGTCTAATGTGCGGATCCTAGCACTTCTCTCATTCGATTAGTTACCTCGCATCCACTATCCACGGAGATCTTCCAACTTTCACATGTGGTTTTGGTTGCTGCTCGAGGATTTCCATTTCATCTTATATGTCGTAGAATGCTCGGCGAGCAATTTTCTCTGGAGAGCTGAGATAGCTGGGCTGGAGCGTTCCCAACTGGATTGCAGAGAGTGGTTTTTTTCAGACAAGTCCAGTACTAATTTCACGACCTCGGAGGGATTAGAGGCTTGGTTAGCCCGGGACGACAGGGTCTTCCAAGCTGAGAAAGAGTTTCGCGTTTCCATCAGAAAGCCTAGCTAAACCAATACCAGGATCCGCCACCGTCCTGGTATCAACGTAGCATGGCGGCAAATCTCCCTCTTATAGGGCTGCGGCTGCCCGTGGTGGTGAAGACCTGCGGCAGACTTTGGCCAGGCTAACCTCGGGATTCCACGGAACCACAACGGCTTAACCAGCAAATCTCCGAAGAATGGTGACTATTCTGGGGCCCGCACAACCACAGTGAGGACGAGCCGTTCAAGTATCAGGTAAGTATCTTATTATTATCTTCG